TCTAATTAATTCACCTACAAAAGCAAGTTTGATTGGTGCAAACTTTGTGTTATGGAATTGTATCACAGCACCGTTAGGAGAAGTAAAAACAGTTTTGCTGTCCTGTATGACACCCTCTTTAAATGAAATTTCAATGTTTAAGCGCAAACATTAAAATTGCTAACTTTGAAATTTGTCATTATCTGCAAAATGTTCCACACAAATCTTTCCGCTATCGCGTTTGTAATCTTCTCTGGTAAAAAACGTCCATGATGTCCAGAATTGCTCTTTACAGCTTGTCTGCCATTCCAGCTTTCCAAGTGAGTAAAACTTCTTAGATATAGAGATTATTTTCTTTCGTTACAGTCGCAAAAGGGCAGGTACTACACGTAAAGAAGACGCCGAGTAGCAAAAGCGAGCTGAAAACGGTCGCGAAAGGCGACGAGAAATATGTGCATTGGAGCGTATCATGAAATACAATCTTTTGCTTGTAGTCTTACGGAGTGACGTCAGAGTTGCCTATCATGTTGTTTAATGTCATTGATTATACGGTATACACCTCGATGGACCTTTGACCCCCTGAAAATTTTTCTCATACTTTACTTTTGCAAAATTTTCGGGGCTATTTCAAGAGTGCTTTGGCGAGTTGGCGCCTGTAAAATGAGGTATGTGTTTCAAACCATCATTATGATTCATCGCATACAACAATCTGTATTTTAAAAGTACCGGTAAAGAATTTAAGGCTAGTTTATCACAGCTATTTCTACACTAATTTTTATTACTGTAGTTAAATTAAAACTCCTAGGAAGACAGAGTGATCATTGAATTATCTGATTTTTATTTAAGTTTCCGAAACACAACTGAAAACTAACGAATAGAGTTCGAAAACGAGGTAATGTTAACAAACACGCTTGAAAATCTGTCTGAGTGAGAAAAGTGTCTGAGCGGATGCGAAAATGGATCATTGTTACGTCCCTTTTTGCATCTTGCTGATTAGCCAATGTCACGAAGTAAACAAGGAAGTCGGTGCTCGGGGAAAGGTCCATGGTCTTACGCCACAATATGCTTTTGCAGTGGCCTTAACTATGCAATGGCGCGGCCGTGTGGCTCATCGAGCCCAGCATTGCCACCGCACCTCTGATTACTCTGCCTGGGTTCGTAGGTTCGAATACGATCCCGTGTCGTGTAACTTCCGATAGCTTGTAGTACAGTTATTTTATCCCACTAGTTGGCGCTGTAGACCCGTGGTTTATCAAAGAGGACTTGCACGGGTCACGTGACTTTGTTTACTGGACGGCAACAAACCAAAAACGTCCTTTTGGCTCCTGTCAGTTGCAAGTCGGATTATACGTTTCCGTTTTGTTTGGCTGTTGAGAATGGTTATTTCGTATTGTTCCGTTGGCTGTACGTATAGTATACTATAGACCATAGGTTCTCAAAGTGCTCCGTACGGAGCCCCAGGGCTCCGTGAGAGAAACCCAGGGGCTCCGCAAGCTATTCGACTACTTTTTAAAATACTGAATTGGCTAATTTTACTATTAGGATTACTGAAATGAAAGACTACTATTCTGAAATAACATAAAATACGCGAAAAACTGCCAACTATACATAAATTGAAGTCGTATTTTTGCGATCTTGGGATTTGTCAAGCTTGGTTTTGTTCTTTCGCACTCACGAGCAAGATGTCGCCGTTTACAAAACAAGAGGTCGGGGCAAAATACGAAAGATGGAAATTTATTTCATTGCATGCGGCTCCGTCGGTAGTTTCAGAATGGAAAAATAGGTACATCGCGCGCACAATTGACTGTGTTTCGGTTTCGCAGTTACTACGACGAATAACCAAAGAAAACCCAACATAACACCAAATTTTTGATTCACAATGTCTATGAACGTGTTTTTAATCTGACGTGAGTCTGCTGAAACAAAACTTATAGTGTTATCTCCCATTTTAAGTTTTAGTTTTAATATTTCAGTATGCCGCTTTTCAATCGAGAAATTTGAGTTGCGGATTTACCTTTTATTATTTATTATTTTTAGCATTTCGTCTCCGGTGACTATAATATGGTATCATGTTTTTCACATTGAACTCATAATTCCCCACGAGAACAAAAAAGCAATACTCGTCGTCATTGTGGAACAATACATCATACATGTATATGTCGAGGAAAATTTTTGATTTAGGGAGAATAAACACCGCCATGCTGACGAAAACAATCGGCGATCGTAACAAAATGCAATCGAGTACGTTATTAGCGGCCTTTTAAGTCTTTCAAAAATATCTAAAGGTAAAAGATCCGACCCCTAATTTATTAATATGTTTGTCAAGTATCAAGTTTACAGCTTTAGTATATATAATTCATCTTTTACATTTAGATTCATTTATGACTTGTATTAACCCTATTAAAAGAGGTTAAGCATTTAAAATAAGTACATTACTTTTGACTTACTCAGAAATATTATTCGGAAAGTAACAATTTTAACATTTATTTTGAGGCTCCGTGAATAATAGTCAACTTTTTCAAGGGCTCCGCAACACAAAAAGTTCGAGAACCCCTGCTATAGACAACGAAATGGATCTTCAGTTATATTCCACTGTTTTCAAAAGATCCGGAACGTCGCGCAATGTGGATTTCATCTATTGGCAGGACTGCTTGGTGTCAAGCCCAGAAGTCATCTCGCTTGTGTTTACATGTTTGCGGACAGCACTTCGTTGAAGGTAAGTGATAATGTGCCGTTATCAATTTCTTTAAATATTCATAAGCTCCCTCATTTCAATGGAAAGCAGATGACAAACTAACGTTATTGGTAGGCCTAGGCTACTTGCAGACTTGACTTGTGTAAGAAATTAATCATCAATTGCCATATGATTTAGTTATTGCACCTGCAATCCTAATAATACCATCCTCAGTATCCATTTATTGATGCTTATCGTAATGACAAAGTAACTTGTGATTACTATGGATTGGTGGAGATAAAGTGTCCATTGTGCTTGAACGAAAGCAACTTCAATACGACCCTATCCAGAAAGAAAAAAATTTGTTTTGGTGGGTCTGGTAGTGAAGGTTTCAGTCTGAAGTTAGACACCGATACTACAACCAAATACAGTTGCCAATGAAACTTAGCGAGGCGTAATATTGTGACTTTGTGATCTGAAAGAAAATTCTGATGGGTAGCCGGCTAGCCGCAACCTTTTGTTCAAAGAATATTATGAGATATGACTTAAGAGTCTAAACTTTTATTCGAGAAGGGTGTAACCCAAGCTAATTTGCAAATGGTATTCATGGTACCAAATGCATCACACACTTTACAGTAAATATAAATTATATTTGAAAAATAAAGCACATCAAAAATGTGTTTTTAAAAAACAATTGGTTTCATCTGCAGATACCAGGTTTATATTGAGATTGACCATTTCAATGCTAAATCTTCCTTAGTCAAAAGGCACACTTGATTCGCAAAGATTTGTGAATGCGCACAGTACACCAATTTGTCTAATGTTTTGATTCCATAGGCAGGAGGTTGTGGATTGGTGCTGCTCAGGATGGGATATTTTTGCTTATAAATGCATATTACGTGGCTCATATTCGACTGTTTTCAAGGTCTGAAGGCTCCAACTGCTTAATTTTATCGGTACACAAGGGAATTTTCAGCGTGGCATGCATGGGTCAGTTGGAGTCGCTAACATCAAGATATCTATAAGCAAGGATAAGATAACCTGGAAGTAACATTCCATAATTTACAGTAAAAAATGTATCTACCTCCACAGCCCTTTCAAATGATGAATTCATCAAGGTGCAACATCGTACGATTACCATTCTATGTCATGATTGGTTAGCCAGCTATTTGTTTTCAGAAGCATGGACTTGATGGTGGGGGATGTCGTAATCGACCAGCGGTCGTGTGAACCAAAGTGACTATAATACAAGTGAAGACACCGCGTGCAATGATGCATATTGAACGCCGTTTTGGGTCCGACGAACCTCCAGAACGGCGAAGTCTCAGTCTGTTTTAGAGGCACAGAGTGAAAGTTTAGTTGTTTTGTCAACCAGAAAACATATACACAAAGTCAGTCTGCTGATCAGGTTTTGTTTGTTAATTTGTTTGGAGATTGGTTACTGTTTTATATTATATTCGGGTAAGTTTAGCATTTTTCTTTTGCTATTTGCCTAGTGGAACAATACTGGTATCGTGGGGTTTTGTGAAAGTTGCGATAGTTATCTTATTATCCCGTGCGAGCTATGCAACTTTGAAACCTTATATCTCACAAACCTTACATTATATTTGGACAAGTTTTATATTGTTTGAGAAACAATCCAGGAGAATAATTATGACATGGAGATAAAATCTCGCGATTATCGTACAAAAATCGGCAAAATTGAAAAGCGTGAAATTTTTTCAAAAAGCTTTCCAATTCAATAACAAAAACTTCGATTTGTTCTTGCTTTAACCTAATATGATATCGACACATTTGTAGAGGTTAAAGATAGCTTTCGAGTGGTATCATTAGTCAGCTTGAGTCAAACAGCGACGTTCCTTAATTATTGATATAACCAATTGCAGACATATGGGAGATGCCCTATTCGTCAATTCTGAAAAAAAGTTGGAACTCTTATCTGAGGTGAATTTTTTTAATTTAGAAATAGGGTGGTTGTTTTATATTTGGGACGCCAGTATTTTCTTGTTGGTGTTCGATCAGAATAAATGCTGCCAATTTGGAGTTTTTAGAAATAAACAACAAAGCGACAAACATAAAAATGATGTTGATTTGAATTTTTGTAATCATTATTTCAGGTATTGCATGTTGTAAAAAATATGAAATTTGTCGCGACTGGATGGAAGCCTGTGCAGTCTGGATTGCAATTGTCAACAACCACAATTTTACGCCTACACCAGAATTGGTAATAAATGGTGAAGTTATTTTTCTCATGGCTGGAAGGCTAACGCAAGATGCCTTGGAAAATACATTTTCGTAAGTTGTAAGTTCGAAAATTGGCATTATCTACTATCAATGGGGATTTCCCTAAAGTGAAACTAAATGGAAAATTCCAGATGTCCACACATGTTGCAATCGACTCTCGCTGACAAGTCTAATCTTGCCTCGCTCTCATGTGACTCGCTGCCGTGTTTTGACGGTAGTTGTTGCGTATTTATTCGCAAGGATTGCTTTTTATGTGTACATTAGTTACGTTTAAGGTCCGGTTGTAAGATAATTAATTGCTCGTTCCTCAGGCTTATATGGCTTATATTGGTAGAACATCTAACTGCTGTAACTTTTATTGTAGACTTTTAACTAAGACAGAAATAGACTATAATTTGATTGATTTCTGAACTGAAATTGGAGAAGTTGTTTCTGTATATTCTGAAGTTTAATTTGTTATTGCCTGGCTCAAAACGTTTCAGTAAGATTGCAATTTGTTGTTCTACATTTCTGGTTCTGTTAATATTTTCCTCATAGTGCTGTATTGGTCTGATATTAATTTGTGATCAACATTACTTGTTAGTTTAAGATTGCAAGTGCTTCAATGCATTATTGGGACAACACTAAAAGGCTGAAGGAAGAAACGGATGAAGTGGAGGGAAAACGGAAGTTGAAGTGTTCCCAAAGGTGAAAAATTAAAAAACACTAAAAGGCTGAACACTAAAAGGAAGAAGTGGATGAAATTTCTTCCGACGGGTAGTTAGGTGGCTGAAGTCACTAAAAAGCTGAACACTAAAAGGAAGAGGTGGATGAAATATTTTCCGACGAATAATGAGGTGGTTGAAGTCACTAAAAAGCTGAACACTAAAAGGAAGAAGTGGATGAAATTTTTTCCGACGAATAATAAGGTGATTGACGTCACTAAAAAGCTGAACACTAAAAGGAAGAAGTGGATGAAATTTTTTCCGACGAATAATGAGGTGGTCGAAGTCACTGGTTGAAGTCACTAAAAAGCTGAATACTAAAAGGAAGAAGTGGATGAAATTTCTTCCGACGAATAATGAGGTGGTTGAAGTCACTAAAAAGCTGAACACTAAAAGGAAGCAGTGGATGAAATTTCTTCCGACGAATAATGAGGTGGTTGAAGTCACTAAAAAGCTGAACACTAAAAGGAAGAAGTTGATGAAATTTCTTCCGACGAATAATGAGGTGGTTGAAGTCACTAAAAAGCTGAACAGTAAAAGGAAGAAGTTGATGAAATTTCTTCCGGCGAATAATGAAGTGGTTGAAGTCACTAAAAAGCTGAACACTAAAAGGAAGCAGAGGATGAAATTTCTTCCGACGAATAATGAGGTGGTTGAAGTCACTAAAAAGCTGAACACTAAAAGGAAGAAGTTGATGAAATTTCTTCCGACGAATAATGAGGTGGTTGAAGTCACTAAAAAGCTGAACAGTAAAAGGAAGAAGTTGATGAAATTTCTTCCCGCGAATAATGAGGTGGTTGAAGTCACTAAAAAGCTGAAAACTAAAAGGAAGAAATGGATGAAATTTCTTCCGAAGGATAATGAGGTGGTTGAAGTCACTAAAAAGCTGAACAGTAAAAGGAAGAAGTTGATGAAATTTCTTCCGGCGAATAATGAGGTGGTTGAAGTCACTAAAAAGCTGAACACTAAAAGGAAGAAGTTGATGAAATTTCTTCTTGCGAATAATGAGGTGGTTGAAGTCACTAAAAAGCTGAACACTAAAAGGAAGCAGAGGATGAAATTTCTTCCGACGAATAATGAGGTGGTTGAAGTCACTAAAAAGCTGAACAGTAAAAGGAAGAAGTTGATGAAATTTCTTCCGGCGAATAATGAGGTGGTTGAAGTCACTAAAAAGCTGAACACTAAAAGGAAGAAATGGATGAAATTTCTTCCGACGGATAATGAGGTGGCGGAGGTCACTGAAAAGCTAAACACTAACAGAAAGAAGTGGATGGAATTTCTTCCGACGGGTGGTGAGGTGGCTGAAGTCACTAAAAAATCTAAACACTATAAGAAAGAAGTACGTTAGGGTTAGATGATATTTTGTCTCATCAATTTTGAGGCGGTTGAAGTCACTAAAATACCGAACATTGGGAGAGTTAAATAGCCAAACATATCCCGACGGAAGTGAGATTGGATGAAGACCCTGAAAGCGGACTGATGAGTAGGCATGCCCCTTTTAGATTTATGAATTGAATCGATTCAAATCGCATTTTTTTCGAATCTGATTTACGCGATTCGAAAGAAAGAGAGCGAAGAAAAACAAACACTCCAAATATCACCAATTGCCAGACGGGAATGTAAATGAATTTTTCGTTATTTACTTTTATTGATCTGCCTTCATTCATTTTCATGTTCAGCGCAACACACCCTGATCATCACTCGAGATGCTGACGTGCTGTGTGGGTAATTAATTTCCTCCAATCTGTCAGTTGAGTATTTCACTGAATGACCTAAGTTTCTATCACACGCAAATTTAAATGGATCGTATACCCGAAAGTTCGTTGCAATTTTGTTAAAAATATGCAACATCACACCTTCTCTGCGACTAAGTTATGGTACGCCTTGACATGAATTGATAAACGATCAGATACCGACTTCTAGAAAACATTTAATTTTGATTGAAATTTAATTTAAACTTCGTTGAAATTGAAATATTGGTACTACTGAAGTATGCGCACCAAGATGTCGCACAATCTGATCCCTAACCTCGTACACCAGTGATTTTCAACCTTTTTTGTATCGCGGAACACTTTTTTTATTCTAAAATTGTGACGGAACACCAAATGAGATTTTTGGAAATAAACTATATTATGCAATTAACTGACATCGATCATTTCGGAAAAAAATAAATTAACGAGATTAATATTAGCTTGTCAACTTCAGCTTGAAAAGACGTTACACATATTCCGATTCAGAGCTACCGATGAGCTAGGAACAGAAATGGTATTTTAATGTAATATCTGGGCCTGTTTCGATGAGTTTCAATTTTTTATTCTGGCTGGAATTTAATTGAGAGAGACAAACACGCAGCTCTTTCTCGACGACTCTCAATTTTTTGTGTTTTTATACTCTTATGGCGGCCAAGAAAAGGGTGGGCAAAATCGAATATTTTTTTCGAATCAAATAATTCGAATATTCTTAACAAATACCGAATAGTCCAATACCGAATATTTTTTATACGCATCAGGGTCTCCAGAACGTCGGAGGTAGATTTGGAAATTGATAGAAACATTGAAAATCGGCAACAAAGCGATTTTTACTGGTTAATTTCGTCATATGCGCTGATATTTTGTCCCCCTGAACGTTTTTAAATTCCCGCCATTGGTTCTTTTGCGCAACTATTAATTCCCGTGGGTCGGCGGAGATCGAGATTTCATATTATTGATATAACTATGAGTTCACATCAGCGGACAGATTTTAATGACATTAAGGAGTGATTTCAAAGCCAAAATAATTGTATTCTGATATTTATTTATCTTTTGCGCCGACTCTGATCTAACTTATCGCCGTTTGCAAATTAAACGTCCCAGTTTTAAGCAAATAATATTATCATTATCGTCAACGGGATGCACACATTTAATATTAAGACGACAATTGACTTTCTTAGGCTCAGTGTTATTTTTCGAAATAAATCAATTTGATACTGTGATTAGATAAATCTGTGAAGCTGTGATTGCGTGAAATAAAGAATTGTCGATTTAAAATCTGAAATAAAAGGCATTTCTACGTTGCGTTTGGCAGCACTCTTGAACGATATTTTACATACGCGACCTGATACCAAAAATTGTAATACAATTTTGTGCCCAAGTGCTTTTCGTACCTAGTAGAAGGGAAGACGCTAATTATAATTAATCACCTCAAGTCACCATTTATTTACAACAAATCAATACCCCGACCAATATCATAGTAATATCGTTACCGGGAAATTCATAATTTTATTTACGGAATTTGCAAATTCAACACTCCACTTGACGATTTTGATGATGCCACGCCCTAATTAATACTGCAAGGAAAAGCTTCAAAATGCAACAAATGTATCAATTCGATGATCCATGGTCGAGTATAATGTTCACATTTTTGAAACATTATTTGGTCAAGGATGAAATGGATCACTAAAAATACACGCCGAGCTATTAGAAAAGTCCATTAAAAGAGAGTATGGCCTGTCATTTCTTATCTGGTTATAAAGTTTTTATACCGGCTTTTCAAAACTCTGACTCGCCATTTTCAAATCTATGCTATTTATATGGTACTCCCGTGGTATGTGAACCAAGATGGCGGACACACGAACGTAGTATGTGTACCAAGTTAGGGTCAGGCCATAACTTCAGGTACGAATACTATAGGAGTCACCTGGCTAGTCTCCGAACTCGTAATAGAACTAAAATGAGGAAAATTTGAACAAAATTTTGGCCTAACCTGGTACACATACTACGTTCTGGTGTCCAACGTCTTGGTTCGCATATTACAGGAGTACCATATTATATAAACTCGAATTTTCTGACGTCCTAAATTGCCGTTTTCACCATGTATCGAAAAACGTCTTTGTAACTCTTAATTTCCGAAAATGATTTTCTATTCGGGTCATGCATGCGGAGGCTGGTAACTTTATTTTAGATATCTTATCTGGGTTGACGTTCTACATTTTACGGACTAGTGTCGGCACACTTTTTTGCAAAATAACAGTGGAAGCCGAGGGTGAATTCTCGCGTAATCCAAGCGATCGATTTAACGGCGTGAATTCCGTGCCCAAGCAAAGCGGTACAGATAATGTGGTATTGTACATACGAAATAGTAAAATGGCATTCGAATATTTTAATATTGTATTCGCTATTCGAATATTTTGCACAGCCCTAGACCGGTCATGCTTAAAAAACTCATTCCGCAAAGATAGGTAGTAGAAAATGATAGCAAGATTGGAAGCGGTTGTGAACCGCGCTTTGTGAAATTTATATAAATCCATCGGACGGTTAAATATCAGTTATGACGTCATAATACTGCAAAAAAGCAATTTTCCGCGGAACACCCGGAGGTCTCTCGCCGGTTGAAAATCAATGATCTATAGCAGTGGCCGGCAACCTTTTTTCAGTAACGGACCGGTAAAGCCTGACCAAAATTTTGGCGGACCACCTTTATACAAACGAACTAATCTAATAAATAATATGCGTTAGAAAATGTATGTTGACAATACATTCAAAAACGAAGGTGATACTATTCACGTAACGTATTTCTTACGTTAAACCCACTTCGATCTTCGTTTTTGTAATTGCCATTTTAAAAACCCAACCTCACATGAAGATAACAATGGCATTGTACGTTTTCATGTCACCTTTCTGCGGACCGGTAGTGACCTTTCCGCGGACCGGCGATGGGCCGCGGCCCGGTGGTTGCCGACTACTGATCTATAGTATATGAAGGAATTTGCATACAATAAACAATGGAATAACTGTTATCT